TTTATGTGTTTAATTATTGCTTGAGTATCTATTTCAACTATTGTTGTACCAAACACAAACTTAATGCTAGCAGTGATTTCTGCCTTTTCAAACAGTAACAAATCCAAACTGAACTGGAAATCTTCATACTTCCAGAAACCTTTTATAGATAGAGAAAATATGCAGATGTTTCAGAGAATAATTAAATGCTGAAAAGTGTGAATCAAATTATTTTGTGAAATATTGGTATGTAATTATTGGTTCTTAGCTTATAATTCAGGATTTATAATAATCATAATTATCCTGAATTGGTTAACATTTCTCCAGTTCTTTTTCTTCTATTCGTCTATTTTTATTTCTATTTTATGTGAAATTGAAGTATACCAAACATTTATATAATTATTCGGGGGTTTTTTTTGCTTGATTATGCATCACCAAGTCTGTGTCAACTCTTGTGATTACATAGATAGATATACTCCAGGATGATCTGCCCTCAACATATAAAAGTTACGTATATAAAATTATATCTAGTTTTCTTACCCTTGGGGTAGAATCTAGTTCCAATACATAAAAGTATAGCATAGTGGTTAAACCAGTTTTAAGATGATTTATGCCCGCCTTTTCAAATTACTGCCTTGCAGATATGTTGGATTAGCTTCTGCCGTTCTTATCTGAGTTCTGAGAATATACTCCAACACATTTATAGAATATGAGACTGGAAAAGCCAAATGTTTAGGTTGTGAAAGTTGGTTGCAACAGAAACTAGGACAAAGTTATTTAAAAATATGCTTAATTAAAAAGGAAAAAAAATGGCTGCTTGAATTGTGATAATCAAAATGTTCACAGGTCATGAAATTTAACATTAGGATTAAAGAGAAAACTTGCAAATACTATTCCCAGACACCCTACATGGGATGCTATTTTCATAACAGAAGTAATAGTGAAAAAATAGGGCGACAGATTATTTCAAGATCACAGACACTGACTACAAACAATGGCATGACAAAGTAGCAACAATGGTGCATTGGAATATCTTCAAGAAATACTTCTTGATTGCAAACAAGAACTGGTAGGACTACAAAATAGACAAATTGATAGAAAATGAAAAATGCAAAATGCTCTGCGACTTTAGAATGCAAACAGACAAACTTCTGCTGGATAATATCCCAGCTTAACAATTATTGATAAGAAAGACAAAAAAGTCTGGGTTGTAGACAATTGCATACCTGGAGCCAGCAAAATAGTAGAGAAAATAACAAAATATACTCTAAAGCAGGCATATCAAACTGCCAGCCCGCGGACCGGATGCATCACACCGAAACCGCACCCACCCCATTGCTGGCAATGGGGAAAAAGTCCTGATACGTTGTGCGATGTCACGTGACGTCGCGAGTTTGACATGCCTGCTCTAAAGACATGCAAATAGAAGTAGAACAAATGTGGTAAAAGAAAGCAAAGATAGTGAAACCAATAGTAATAGGCACCTTGGATGCATTCCCAAAACATCTGGAATACAGTACTATTTGAACAGCATCAGCATTGACAAAATTACAATTGCAAAAAGGCAGCTTTACGTGGTACAGCTTACATCCTGCCACAATACCTTCAAGATGGATAGATAGATGGATAAAAATGCCAAAATCCAGTTTAAATATCTGGCTGACATCACAATACTGATAGTGTTTGGAACCCTTGAAGTAATATCTAAAGGATATCTGATATCTGGAAACAATTAAATTTATCGAACTTGAGCACCATAGTTTTATAAAAAAAAAAAAACATCCTCCTTAGAACTGCCTATATTCCTAGATGCTACCTTAATAATTCTTAGCTCCTCGGTTAGGACCCATATATCATTCTGTACTTTTAAACTCCAGTGAAATTCTTCAGTCTGCTGGATGCCAACCAGTTCCAATGGCTGTAAGTTATTTTAATTGGCGAATGTATACATGTTACAGTTTGTTCAAAATCAATCAGGATGTTGGCTTTGAGTGTAGTTTTTTTTTCTTTTTCTTTTTTAAATGGCTATGGGTGCAGGGGTGATGTGATGATTTGCCAGTATTGCCAGTATTGGTATTTAGGTCAGCATCCTTGTAATTATCCTTCATTCAAAAAAAAAAGTCTTCCCCATCCTTAGAGCTCCTTATGTTTTTCTAGGGAAATTGTTTTGTTCTCCTTGCCCCGAATTTGATTTCTTATTCTTGCACCTGACTGTTTTGTGTAAATGTAGGCCACAGAAAGCTCCTGAATGGAGCTGTTAATTGGGTCAGTGAGAAACAACAAAACCACGTTAAGATTCTGTGATCAAATAACCGGAGTAAACTTTGCAGTCACTATTGTACTGAATGTTTAGGACGGCAGCTTTTCCAAGCGGAGCTCAGCAGGCCTACATGAAGGAGCTCAGTGGAGGGAATAATATCTTTCAGCTTTCCTTAGTTCACGTTTCTGGTTTGTTTAATCTTCTGGAGATGAAAAATCCCCAAGAACAGCAGCTGTGAGATAGTTCAGAGAAAAAAAACAAGAGGTAGGACTGTCAAGCTGTAAGGCAACAGGAGGATTAGTTTTAGAACTCAGCTGTTCTTAAACTCCAGTTTGGGGTTACGTACAAAGCTGGTAAAAAAAAATCTCCCATTGTCTTGATTTATTTATGAACTAAAAGCATTGAAATAGGGCTGCTGCCAGACTTCCATGGTTGTTGACCATTGTAGATTTCCTGAAATGTAACACTAATAACACTAAATCTATTTTGGTAATTTAAGATGTTGAAAAGGATGAATTAAATAGTTTTAAATGTTTTTATTGCCCACTATATCTGCTATTTAAAATTATAATAATGTTTATAGTTGCACTGTAACTTATTACCATTGTGAATTTTCAGTTTATTATAGTTGTGTTTTAAATAGAATTGTCGTAGATTGTACTACTTGCATTGTCACGCTCCCTTGAACCCATAAAAAGCATTGTATTTTTTCTTTCTTTCTGGCAACTGAGGATAACATTTTATGCATTGAATAAATTGATCCTTATCCAATAAAGTTCTATACAGTAAATATTTTACCAGATTTAGAAACAGGTATGATAAATACCGGTAGTTCTCGACCTACAAGAGTTTGTTTAGTGACTGTTCAAAGTTACAAAGGCACTGAAAAAGTGACTTACGATCCTTTTTCACATTTACGACCGTTGCAGTATTCCCATGGTCACATGATCAAAATTCAGATGCTTGGCAACTGGTTCATATTTATGATGGTAGCACTTTCCTGAAGTCATGTGATCAATCTTGTTACTAACTTAACAGCAATGATTCACTTAGCATCTGTGGCAAGAAAGATCGTAAAATGGAGCAAAACTCACTTAACAATTATCTCACTTAACAACAGAAATTTTGGGCTTAATTGTGGTCGTAGGTCAAGGACTAGTTCCAGGCTGCATATGATTCTGACAAACTTTGTTTTTAAGATCTTTCAAAATCCCTTCCAACCTTGACAGCCCAAAATCAGTGATTTACTTGCTACCATTTTAGGGCAAGGCTTAGTCCTAAAGTGGATTTAATAAACATCAAAAGGAATATCTCCTCTAAATCCATAGAAAATCTTACATCCATTCACATGTGTGATGGGTTTGTTTTTCATAAGAACTCTACTACCCATTGCAGCCCTGGATTTTCTCTTCTTATATCCATTAGTAGGAGAACATAGGAAAAGGAATGGCAGAACCTGGGGGCGGAGTGCAAAGAAGGATAAGTCTAGAATCCCTACTTAGCCGCAAGTATACTACTGTGTTTTCCCGAAAATAAGACCTATTCCCAAAATAAGCCCTAGTTTGATTTTGGGGGTGGGTGGGCCTAATATAAGCCCTATCCCCAAAATAAGCCCTAGTATTGGGGAGAGGCACACACCTGAAAATCAAGCTAGGGTGGGATGGGGTTGGAGCTACCTCACGAGCCCCACACCCACTTATCGTTGTAGCCAGGCCTCCCATGTCCCAACACCTGCCTCATCTCACGGTGCGCGCTCATATCAGCCCCAACCTCCATTTCACCAACAGAGGCCTTCAGGAAATGCCTCTGCAGCTGAGAATGGAGCTCCAGATTGACGTGCATGGCACCCCCTGGAGGCCAGGGGGCACCACATGCGTCAATCTGGAGCTCAGTTCTTCGCTGCAGAGGCATTTCTTGAAGGCCCCTGATGGTGAAATGGAGGCCAGGGGTGACATGCTTGAGCGGTGGCAAGCAGCCATAAAAGAAGTGGGCCAGCTGGGCAGGGCTGTCTGTGCCACTGTCACGAGGTGAGACTGTGGAAAAGACCCGCTCCCTGAAAATAAGACTTGGTGCCCCTTTTGGAGGAAAAAAAGAGTCCGGGTCTTATTTTGGGGAAAACATGGTAAGTATGACCCCCTTGAGTGCTGTTGACCCTTATTTAACTCTAACCAGATGTTTCTTAGTTAAGAAGATTCCTGTGTATAGGCTTTTAGCAATAAATTAGCTTAATTGAACCTTCATGTGTGGATCTGATCTTTTGCTCCTGACAGAGAAAGATGTAATTTGAGCAATATCAGAAAGATGAGGCTTATTCAGACAACTCATTTGATGAACTTGATCTGATCCTATACTAGAAGCATTTCCTGTGTGAAGGGCAAACCTGATTCCGTCCTGTTAGCATCTTTATTTATAAAAGTTTCTCCAGTATTGTATATGTGTATGTGTTTAATCTATGCAGTGGATTTAAATTTTTATAAATCTAAGTGCTTGGGTAAAGAGATTTTGAGCTTAAATCTCCAGAGATGTTTTGATTCCAGGATAGATTAAGATCACAGTGCTTACACCAAAATAAAGTAAATCATATTAACAAGTAATATGTCTGTAATTTACTCTTATGAACTAATTGACCCATTTTTTAAAATCTTAATTAAAAAGTCTGTTCCATCTACCCATTTTCCTTGACATCACCATGTAAGATATATTTTTAAATAAAGCTGCAAAACATTTAATGCTTGATTTGTCCCCCATTTCTAGGCAAGAGCAGGTCAACATTCTGTATCAGAACATCAATATAGTGGAACCACGATTAATTCAACCATATGAAAATGTTATTAAGAACTTTATTAGAGAGATCAAGCTGCAGAGCACAGAAATGGAGACCTTGGCCATCGCTGTAAAAAGGTAAAGTTAACTGGGTTTGTACTTTATAATGAAATTATATCAGAGTATACTATTCAAATCTGAAGCAGCTAGTAGCCTCTAGATCTGTGAACATATCTGTATTTGCATCAAGTAAATAAAGAATGCCCACACCATATGCAGAGCACTACTGGATTCAAATACTTCCATCAATACCAGATAACAGAGCTGGTGGGAAGGGATTGGATGAATTGCAGTTCAAGGTATTTGAATTTGTTTATCCATGCTTTAAATACCCAATAAATCATGTGGGTGAAGAACAAATAGTTAACATTTTATTAAAGGTTAAATTATAAACAGTATGCTATCATGACCCTTGCAAATGATTTAAAATATGCTTGAAGCTTTTGTTGTTTGCTTTATAGTTTGTGAACGTCCGTTATTTGTTTTCTAAAACAGCGTTTTCAAAACAGGTATCTCTAACTTAACTTGGAGATTTCTGATCACAAAAAATTTGAGGCTGAACGGAAGAGAAGGAAGAATTAAGTGGAAAATGTATTGCTACATAGAAATTAGGAATTTGGTTTATTAATGGTTAAAATACTAATTTTCTCATGTTATCTCAACAAGGCACAAACTAGGCAGTAGCTTCCCAAATACTTGGATGCTACAAGTATTTCAGTTTTAGAATGGCAACCATAGCAGTTGAGTTTGAGCTGGTGGAAGAGATGGCACAACACTGATAATACCTAATCTTACTTCAAATCCTATGCAGTCATTTTGCACTTCTATACTTATGCAAAGAAGCCTTCATCTTTTCATGCCTCTTAGGTCTTCTCCATTGAAGATCGTTGCATGAGTACATTCCCTGCATTCTTTCTGAGACACTTTTTCCTGCCAGATTGAGACTTCTGAGGCCACTAATAGAACCTGGTCACCATATTGCTAGTGGACATATTTCTGTACTAGGGTTTCATCTTAGTGCATAAGATGTGAATACTGCTATTATATGCAGTCTGTCAGTTTTTTCTGCTCCCAACATTCAACATTCTGAGACTATCTAGACTATGTTTCTTTTCTATATCTTGTTTTTAATTTTGGCTTATTGGTATTTCCCATGAATTATGCTATAGGAGGAAATAAGATAGACTGTATAATCTGTAATATATGTATTAATTTGTAATCTTTGGAGTTATGGTATTAATGTGATAATTCTTAAACATCCACATCAGTTTCACCCAGAGAGATTTAGCACCTAGTATTACAAGGTACAGTATTACAGATACTGTAATTTGCTTATTGCTGTGAGGAATAGAAAAACTTTTGTTCAGAGTTGTATGAAGACAGTCAATCACTATAGTTCAACATTTATGATTGCTCAATACTGAAGATCATTGATAAATAGGATAATTGGGTATCAAAGGCAATTTACATGTCTCATTTAGCTATATAATGTCACATTAGCTAGAGGGAGGATCTGCCAGTTACTTAAAGATAGAGATATAGTCTGTTCTCCTTTGTTCTGATTCCTGGTTTGCCCCAATTATTTTTAAGATTGTTTTATATCACTGGTGTCAAATTTGATTGTGTTATGTAATGTATTATGATGTGTCTTAATTTTTTTTGCCTTTGCGGAGCTGGTGTGGGCGTGGCCTGCATGTGATGCACCCAGCCCACGGGCTGCCAGTTTGACACCCCTGTTTTATATGAATGTTCATTTTTATAGAGCACAAGATAAAGCAGCCATGCAGCTTGGTGAACTAGAAGAGGAGATGGACCAGCGCATACAGGCTACAGAACGTAAAATCAAGAAGGAGGTGACTAACTAATGCTTACAATGCTAATGATTTAGAAAGGATTGCTTCCCTCAACCAAATAAATAAAATAATTCTAAATTTTATGCTTCAGATTTAATGTATAGAACATTTCTCTACATTATTTTACTCTTTAGTTTGCCTCTAATACAAAACGGTACAAAGCCAGCACTTTCTCTATCTCTTTCTTAAGATAGAATCAAGATCACGTGAAGTATTAATACCACTTTACAATGCCTTGGTAAGGCCACACTTGGAATACTGCATCCAGTTTTGGTCACCACGATGTAAAAAAGATGCTGAGACTCTAGAAAGAGTACAGAGAAGAGCAACAAAGATGATTAGGGGACTGGAGGCTAAAACATATAAGGAACGGTTGCTGGAACTGGGTATGTCTAGTTTAACGAAG